CCTTCCTCCCTCTCTCCTCCCCTCCCACCTCAACTCTCTTTCTCTCTCTCCCCCTCACCTTCATCCCCGCGCGAGGAGCGTCGCGTATGCGTCGTTTTTCCGCTCATTCCCACTTTATAGCTTTCCGGCGTATATATAGACACAATCCGAGGCGGTCAGCCCCACGGGCCGCGCAATATATAAGCCCCGCACTTGGGCGATAGAACAATCATTAGTGGGCCCCGTCATACTTCCTCGAAGCGCTCAAAATGTAATTGAAAAACAGGAAAAATGGACCACAGCTCCCTCATTTGCAGTTTATTGCATCGAATAGCCTCACCCACACAACCCACACGACACGACTGCAACCACATACAGTCAGGCCCCCGCTGGCGGTCGCTGTACAGGCGTTGGTGGTTTTGGCACGTCAAGACATTGGCCTGACGAATTCGCGTCGATTTCTGAGAAGAGAGATCGTAACCTACCCTCGCGTATTTTCAATCCTGCCCTCTTTCCCGCCGCACACACCACCTCGCCCCTCCGGCAGGCTTATTTTCGCCGCACTCACACACACACACGCACACACAACATTCCTGATCGCTTCCACCCGCTCACGACGCTATAAAGGCAGCTCGCTTCGGCACAGCCTTCTATGTCTCGCCGCAATTTCATGATCGAAATTTTTTATTGCCGGCAGAATATCAAACATAAAAATATGCCCGGGCTTCGGCTTGACGAGGCTGGGAGGGGGGGGGGGACGGCAGGGTCCCGTCAGCAGGCGTCGCAGAAGAGGAAAATAATAATAAAAACAAAATTTGTTCGGCCCGAGGTCAAAAAGCCAAAAAGCCAGCGTTTTAATTGAAGTCATAAAGCCGACCACGTGAACGACCGCAGACTGCTAATGCCCTGGCACAGGGTGATGAGGTCACACACACACACACACACACACACACACAGTTGCAGCGGCCACCACTACCACCCCACAACAGAACAGACACCAACCCCCATTCGCCCCGTGGCGCCCCTCACCTACCATACCCGACGACCTACGGACCACCTGCTGGTCACCTTTCGACCAACCGCGGAACGATACCGGGGCCTGCCATGTATGATGGTCATAAATACACTCGTCAAAATGAAAGAACCCACAGTTTTATGTCACATGCGCATGCCTCATTTTTCACTGATTTATTGGACGCCGCCCCGATGGGCGGCCATTCGCCATAAATCAAAGAGCACGGCACACATTGCAATCCACGGCCCTTTATTTGTACTTATTGGCTAATTGTTCCAAGATGGCCGCCGACATGGTCCGGGGCTGGAGCAAGCAGACGGACGGACGCGCCAAAAACCCTTCCCTAGCATCATCACCACCCCGCACGAAAATAAGCTGACCAAACGCAACGTTATAGCCAACGCGCGATAAATCAGAAAAAAAGAAATAAGCAACACATACACACACACACGCAGACGCGCGCGCTACCACTTTGAGCCCCAATTTTACGACCATCAAATTATACGAGTATTTACACGCCTAGCCGAGCGCCCTCTAGCGGTGTAAACAGCTCGATATTAGTATCGCAAGGGATCGGCGCCTGGTGTAAAAAAGCACAGCAGGGCAAACAACAACAGCAAAAAACACCATCGACAGATACAGGCCAAAATGTTTGCAGACTTTCACCGAGAGGGGCGGAAGTTGACAAGCAGAAACTTCGACGAAGTTCTGCGAAAAGAGCGGCGGGCGAAAGAGTTTATACATCACAACCTGTCGCATCTTCAAAATTTCAAGCGTCACATCGCGTCTAAATACCAGCTCATCTTCATAGCCCC